CCTTCGAGAGGATGCTCTAGTCTCTTATCCTAGCCACTGCGCCCAGTTTAGGCCGCATGATCCGTGCCAGTGGGGCCTGTCACGATGCTCATTCCAGTGTTGGCCAAGGGAGCACGTGTGAGGAGACACGTCCTTGGAACAGACTCACATCTTTTTAACATCTTCAGGATTGTGAGGAAAGAGAAGCAAATATTCTACAAGTAGTGGTCCTATGAATGTAATTTTTTACCCTTTTACCTAACTCCAAGAGACTTACTTTGCATGCATAGAATGGTAGTAATAGAATGCCAAGGTTTTTTGGGCAGTGTGTACCCTACTCCCCGAAATGCAGCATGAGTTGTAATCAGCCAACTGAAATTACCCATTTCTGATTAAGAAGTTGCCATTCATTCCCTACAATAGGGATATATTTCTACAACGATGTCCCTCAAAGTCTTCAGTGATCATCAGTCTAAGTCACTAGAGTAGATTGTCCCTGTGGAATGCCTCATTCACATCTAGCAGTACACTAATAGAAATGGTTCCAACAGAAGGTACAGGTATTATAAAGCACTAACTTAAGATGTAGCCATTGTAAACCATTGCTGGATCAGAGCTCAATTTTGTAGAATGGCAGGAGAGAAGCTTTAAAAAGAGCAGCAATGAAATCAGGCAGTTTGCTAAGGATGAGTTGAAAGGATTGTCAGATTCCCTTAGTCGTTGAACTTAGCCTATCAATGCTATCACCAAAGGAGGATGTTGTCACAGGTACTTGGCCACGCAGTTTAAGTTATCAGATGCCATTTTCCCAACTCATTTAATTCTAGTCTTTGGGTGCTGACAATAAAAATGACAGCTCTTCATCTAATGTGGGCTATTATCCACAGGGTGGTATTGCATCAACTTCTCGCTTAAGCTTTTGACTAATGGGAGGAGTGTTTAAGAATCGGAGTTTATTTTTGTGTATGGTGTGAGTGGGTAATCTAGTTTCATTTTTCGTGCATGTATCTGATCAATTTTCACAGCACCATTTACTAAACTGATTAACAACAATAGATCCAGAGACAAAGAAACACTGAACAGACCGTCCAACCTCAGAGGGAAGACAGGGGAGTGGGGAGGAGGGGTAAGAGAGCAACCAAAGGACTTGTATACATGCATATTATCATAACCAATGGACATGGACACGGGGATGGTTGGGGCTTGTCCTGGGGGGTAGGAATGGCAGGTGGGGGGGGGTTGATTGGGGAAGAAGGAGACATAAAAAAGTAAATGGTAGAATATAGTAATGAATGAAGAAGAAGGAGAAGAAGGAGAAGGAGAAGGAGGAGAAGAAGAAGAAGAAGAGTTAAAGTAGTATTTATCCCTTCTCCTGTTTATATGATTGGATCCTGCCATGTTGATATTGACCTGTTTGGCAATGCAACAAAACTGTACTATAGGCAAAAGCCCATGAAGGGAACAGTGGAAATATTAGGTTTGGAAAAGCTTTGGTAAAATCATTCATTTTGGTTAACTGAGCATTTAAAGATGCAGGCTTGTGAGCACAAGCCTCTTTTCGTCAAATCTGTAAATGAACACTCATGACAGTAGGGACCCTGGAGCCTTGGTCACAGAGAGGGTTGTTTTGTGCTAGGTTTAGCTATTATACTTGGCAAATTTATGGGAACTTTCTTTCATAATTTTACCATGATCTAATCCTAAGAGATAATAACAGAAAAGAAGAGAGTATGGTTTAAAAGAAGGAAAAAAAATGACCAGTAGATGGACAGAACCCTTGTTTTTTTTTAAATCCTAGTATTTAATTCATGTGTGTATTCTCTTGGCTAAGGAATACCGAAATGATACAGGCTTATTTATACAGTGGAAAGTAGTTTTCTATTGAAATTAAGTTAGAACTGCATTGCTTGTTTAAATTGATATTTGAAGCACTTAGTCATTTTATTAGTCAGTAAAAATGATGAAAACCTTGGGAAAATGCTTAAGAATGGTCCTTGAGGAGACTGTGATTAATAAGGAAAGAGGCAAAGAGATGCATGTTAATCTGTTTATGTATATGGGATCTAGAGCTTATTAAAATTTTTTTTATAAACATTCAACTAATGAAGCATTATATAAAATTAGACATTTCCTTTACACTGTGAAAAAGTCTCTGGACTGGGGGAAAAAAAAACCTTCAAGGTTATTTCTGAATAGCTTACTTACGATATTTTCCCTATCACTACCGTATTTTCTGGCGTATAAGACGACCCCCTAATTTTACAGTTAAAACATAGGTTTAGGCCCATATTCGCTGCATAAGACTACCCCCACTTCAAAGAAAAGACTTACTTTGCCGTCAAGATCTGCAGGTAATTTTTGTGCAATTTTGGTCTTTTGCCCCCAATTTTCGGTTGACTTTTTTTCTTTTCAAAAGTCGTCTTATATGCCGGAAAATACGGGGTAGAAACTTACGTATAAAAAATGAATTTTGTAATAAGGAATATTCCGTGAGAATACCATTCCAGTTTCTCTAGGGCTGTTTTCATCTCAGTTGGCCTTGGTTTATCAAGTTAATACAGGATGGAGTAACCTGAACAATCATTATTAAATTCATTTTGTGGTTTTAGCAGCTGCTTGGCCAATGAATCCCAAATAGCACATTTAAAACCAAAACATTATTTCACTTTACGTATTTTTATTTGTTAGAGGTTGCAAAGAAAGAGGGTGGTTCAAAGTTCTCTCTAGGTTCTAAATGATGAGATAACAAGGAATGTATACACAAATGGAAATCAGTAATTGTCCAGGCAAATTTCCAGTGGCTGCAAAGATAGGGAGGGTTGTCTGGGAAAGCTGAGCTAGGGCACATGTCCTAGGAGCCTCTTCTCTGGAATTAGGAAAAGGGAGAAGGATTATTTTCAGCATTTATCCCAAGATTACACATAGGGTATTTATTGTATTTTATATTCTTTGGTCATGTTTTAGGTATCTTTACCATCATAATTTTTTTATTATATTCTTCATTTTTGGTAGAATCTCTGCAGTAGAGTCAAAGCAACATCTGTTTAGTTGTCAGACAGATATGAATTCAGGTGCTAACATCAAATCTTGATCCTGGTCAAACTATTGAACTGATATTGCCATGATGTTGTTGTTTTTTTAATCTGTGTATTGGGGGCAATAGTACTTAGTCCACAGGATTGTTTTGAGGAACATAGAATATATATATAAAGGAACTTAGTTTAGAAGAGCACACACAGTATTTCTCAAGTTTTCATGCTTATTTAATATTAGAGGCCCAGTGCATGAAATTCATGAAAGGGAGGGGGGGAAGAGGTGTAACCTCAGCCCAGCCTGTACCCTCTTGCAAACAGGGACTCCTCAGGGGATGTCTAACTGCTGGTTTAGGCCCGATCTCACAGAAATCACTCGGGATCAGACCTAAACCTATAGTCGGACATCCCTCTCACAATCTGGGACCGCTGGCTCCTCACCAATGGCCTGCCTGCCTGATCATCCCTAACCACCCTACCTTCCTGCCTGATTGCCCCTAACTGCCTTTGTCTTTGCCCTCGACGCTGTGGCTTCATCCAGATGGACATCTGGAATGACGTCTGGAAGGTCGTTCAGCTGTCTGGTCTAATTAGCATAGTACGCTTTTATTATTATAGATTCCTTACCTGTTGCAGATCACTTTAAATTCATATATGATGACTACAATTCAGGAAAAGAAAAATCAAAATATATATATATCAAATGTATTTATGAATATACCAAAGCACCTCATTTTAGATTAGTTCTTCCCAAAACCTTAAAAAGTAAATGTTTTTAGAAAAATCTATAGCATATGGCACTCAATAAATATTACATGCTTAGTAGTATTCTATCTTAATCTTCATTTCACAAACAAGTTTAAGCTTTCTCTGTATAGTTTCTTTCTTTAAACCCATTCAAAATGCTTTTATTCCTGGCATGTCATTATAGATTTCTAAGCTTGAAACTCTGTTTCTGGAGCTCAGACTAAGAAATAATGCTAAGATTTTGTGAGGGATGAGAAAGAAATACTTCAGTATTGACTGCATGAATTGTATACAAATCAAAACTCAAGGGACCTGGAGTTCTGCTCAGAAGTTGATGCTCTTTCACCATCATATTATTTCGTTGTGAATTCTCAAACATTTACTCTATTAATTTTTAAAAGTATATATAACATATATATCTTCACATTCAGATTGGATTTTTCCACTTATATATGGGATATAAAACTGAAAGTAACAAATAACAAATATGGAAAAGAAACAAACAAAAATGTATAGACACAGATAACAGTATGGTGGTGATCAGAGGGGAGTGGGAAGTAGTAAAGGATAAAAAGGATCAAATATATGGCGATGAAAAAAGATTTGACTTTGGGTAGTGGTACACAATGTAATGGACAGATAATATAGAATTATATACTTGAAACCTGTATAAGTTTATTAACCAAGGTCACCCCCAATAAATTTAATTAAAAAAAAAAAGATTGATTTCTTATATCAGAGTCCCAGAGGAAAAGAGACTTAAATAAAAGCATTTTATTTATCTCTAATGAAAAATTTGGAAGTAGGCAACTCAAATCTGGTAATGGTAACTCAGTGATTATCAGGAACTGTAGCTCATTTTTCTTTATTGCTTTGAATTCCTAATGTGTAAGAGCCTCATGTTGCATTGTAGCTGCATGAGCAACAAATACCCTGTCCTCAGTCCAGAATAATAGGAAGGAAGACAGAACACAGATGCTGAGCCCCTTCCCAGAAACTCTTCTTAACTTCTCATCTTTTCATCCTTCACCAGAATGCAGGCACATGGCCAATCTGCAAAAGAAGCTGGAAATGTTACTTAGGCTTTAGTCTGAGTGATAAGATTGAAGGGTTTTATTATTCCAGAAAAGGAGAACAGATATTGGGGACACGTATGACAATCTGTGACATCTGGGCTTCACCATATCTTTTAAAATTCATTTCTCTTACATTTTCTTTTTCCTTATTTTCTTTTGTAAATAGATCCCATGCGAGGCCCAAGGAAACTGGAAGTGGTAGAAGTCAAATCTCGACAAATCACTATCCGCTGGGAGCCATTTGGATATAATGTGACTCGTTGCCATAGTTACAATCTCACAGTCCACTACTGTTATCAAGTAGGAGGACAAGAACAGGTGCGAGAAGAAGTAAGCTGGGACACAGATAATTCACACCCTCAGCATACGATCACTAACCTCTCACCATACACCAATGTTAGTGTGAAACTCATCCTCATGAATCCTGAAGGAAGGAAGGAAAGTCAAGAACTCATAGTGCAGACGGATGAAGATCGTGAGTACTTTTAAATATGTTTATTTGAAATCTATACCCTCTCAAGAAAGCAGCTTCTGTTTCTTTTAAATTGAGATCTTTGTAGTGAAAATAGAAGGAATAACTATTTAGTGTGTTGAATAATAAAATATAAACATGTCTATGCTTCTGCATACTTAAGCACTGATAAAAAGGGTATAGGGAATAAAGAAGTAGGAGTGTATTTTAATTCTTTATGAGTCAGATAGTCACATTTCTATGTAAAATAATTCTATATTGCTCTTTATTCAAGGTTTATTATCATGTTGAACTAAAGAGTTATTATTTTGGGTACTATTACTTATATGAAATGCTTATTTAAGTATATTTAAAAGGCATTCTGAAACACTTTTCATATTTCAGATAAAAATTTAGCCCAAAAGAGAGGCTGCCCTTGCTTTTCGGTGTAGTGCTGAGAAATTACCTCATTAGGTTTTTGGTCATGAAATAGATCATATTTTCCCATAGGAACAATGTTGTAATTGGATATTACCTTAATAAACAAGAATTTAACTAATATACTATGCACATTAGTAGAAACTCATCAATAAAGTAAATATACAATTAATCTCTAAAATAATTTAAAATAGTAAAATTATACCTTGAATCTCATAGCATGGATGTAAATGTGCTCTTATACTGATTATATACAATATCATATACAATCACGTGTCATACAGCACATAAAATACAGTAGTAGTATGTCATATATTTGACCTAGAGTTCATTTGTCAAGCATCAGAATAAGTTTCAAAAGAACTTGGAAAGCTCATTAAATGAATATACTTACTTATTCCTGGGGGAAAATACATGTTTACTTTTTTGTTTTTTCATGTAGCTGATTATGAGCTTGATCATTAATTATAACAAATTAAAATTTTATGACACTTTATTATTTCATGTAAAGAGCTAAAAGGTGCTTGAATTATTTATTGCCTATACAATACCATGCATATTGCTAAAGAAGAAAAACGTGGAAATGAGTCATTCACCCACATTCTTATCTTTTATACCCCCATAAAGAACTTCTCTTCTTAAAATAGTTGGTTGCTGTCAAATAGTTGTTTTATTATTATACAATTACTAGTGGTCCGGTGCATGAAATTTGCGCAATCAGGTGGGAGGAGGTCCCTCAGCCTGGCCTGCGCCCTTTTGCAGTCCAGGAGCCCTCGGGAGATGTCCAACAGATGGACATCCTTAGTGCTGTCACAGAGGCAGGAAAGGATCCCACCACTGCTACTGCACTTGCCAGCTGTGAGCCTGGCTTCTGGCTGAGCAGCACTCCCCTGTGGGAACACATTGACAAGAATTTAACTAGTGACTGGTCATTCATCAGTTCAGTCAATTTCCATATTTGCCTTTTATTATATAGGATTTTTGTTAAGATTATTAGTGTATAGTAGTCAGGGCTGAGACTGGAAGTCCTATTTTTATTTCTCCAAGTCTTCTTCATCTCCCATGAAATAAGAATGAAGGTGTCAGCATGGTCGACAGGTCATCTCTTGACCCTTTCTCCCTGCATTTCAATTTTTAATTTGGTCTTAACTCCTGTTGTTTCTACTTTCATGATATTAGATTGTCTCTCATCTTCCACAACCTATATTCAGATCTTCATTATTTTGTACTGAAATTTCTATAATAATTTCTGCCCTTTCTTTGTGGTCCCAGCTTTTTGTCCTTCTAATGCCACCCTACTCACTCACTAAACTGACCTTTGAAATATATTTGCATCTTTTTTCTCTCTACACAAGAACTTTCAATGACTCTCTTTATCCAAGTCTTGACTTTCAAGGTCTTCTGTATTCTTGACTTATGCTCTAGAACACATGTGTCAAACACAAAGCCCGCGGGCCAAATCCGTCCCGCCAGGCCTTGCAATGTGGCCCGCACCACACTGTCATCACTGCACTCCGCTGCGTTTCCATCACAATGACAGTTTATGACTGTTCAGTAAACCATTCGGCCCGCGATTTAGGCTGGATTTTAGATTTTGGCCCCTTCTATAATTGAGTTCGACACCCCTACTCTAGAACTACTGACTTTCTCACTGCAGTTCATTCTGAAAAATGTCCCCTCAGCATTGGCCCTTTATGCCATACTTTTTATCCTGGGCTCTTCCTCATCTCCTGTTGTCATCCACCACCTGCATTTCTACATGGCTGCCTCTCAATTCCATCTCCTCTGCTACCAGTTCTCCATAAGTATCAGGTCCTTCATAAAGCTATCACCATTTTCAATCATTTTTGTGTTTTATTGTGTGAATATGAAATAATTAAACTATTTTGTTTAACTCAATTTTATTTGTTCTGTTTTAAAATGCTGCTATGTTGACATTCTAGTGTATGTCTCCTGGTACTATGTATAAAAATATTACTAGGGAATATACCTGGAGTTTGAATTGTTAATGTTGTATGATAGTTGCCTCCTTAAATTTACTTAAATATTACCATTATTTTATGCAATGGCTGTACCAATCTATACTCTTATAAGAGATGTGCGGGAATTCTGATTTCTCCATGGACGCCTTAATTTATTTTTGAAGAATTAAAAAGCTCATATGAAAGATGATTATTGGGGTTCATCTAATTGATTCAAACTTTAAAGAAAAAATGAGGGAATGTTTTTCTTTATTAACCACAGTATAGTCAAACTTTAAAGAAAAAATGAGGGAATGTTTTTCTTTATTAACCACAGAGCTGTCAGACAGTAATCACTGCTGAGCCCCTTTCCTGACCCAAATAGCCTCAGTTTTGAATTTTAGATTTTTTTAATTCAATGTGTATACAGATTATTAAAATATTGTGCCTCAATAGAGAGTTTACTCAAGTCTAAAAAACTCTCTTTTTTTGGTTTGTTACTTAAACATCTGTTGGTTTTCCCCCTTACAGTGCCAGGTGCTGTTCCTACTGAATCCATTCAAGGAAGTACCTTTGAAGAGAAGATATTTCTTCAATGGCGAGAACCAATTCAAACATATGGTGTCATCACTTTATATGAGGTAGTATATATATACTTTTGGTAATTTAATTTTTATTATAATTTCTATGATAGCTAGGCTGTCATAGAAATGCATAATGGCATCATGTTTTGATAGATACAGAGGCAGTAAAGCATTAAACAGACTGTCAAATTACAGCGGGAAGGTTAGAGAGAGGTGGGGGAGATAAGAGATCAATAGAAGGACTTATATGTATGCATATAAGAATAACCAATGGATGCAAAACATTGGGGGGTGAGGGCATGTATAGGAGTAGGGTGGGGGGCAATGGTAAGATATGTACACATATAATATCTTAATAAAAAAATGAGAAAAATGTAAAAAAAAGAAGTTTAAGTCTTTGAATAGTTATAGTGGTTACTATATAAAAGCAAAAAATTAAAAATGAGTTTTTTAATTATATATATTTTAGGATGCATATTTATAATAATGTGAATGTTTCCAGGTTATATAATATGCATAAAAATATTAACGTATTTTTTAATCAACTTTATTAAAAACAGTATTTTGAAGTATACATTAAGAGGTACACACTCAATCCTATTCTTACTTACTATAAAATATTTTACTACTAAATCACAGAAGAATGTTGATTATTCAATTAGCAAAATCAATGGATGTTGTCACAGAAGTAATAATAGGAGAATGTCTCTTGGCTTTTTAGTATTAGCAAAACACACATTAAAACTTCTGTGACATGGTTTGTCTACTGAGGCATATCAAATGGTTGAGTAATAGGTAATAGAAGAATTTGATGAATTGTTCAAGGAAGAAAATAATAGCAATAATGGGATGACAGTCGTCATCAATCTATATGAGCATCATTTTACGATGCCTATTGTCATAGTAACAAGCAGGTGCATTTTTGAAGCAAGCATTTATTTGAATGCAAATTCAACCAAATTATATGTTGTTCAGCTTCTGAAAATTGCGACAGTTCCTCCTACAGCATCTCTGCTTGAATACCTATTAGAACTACTGACAAAAGCCTGAGCAGAAGAGCTGTCAGACAATAATCACTGCTGAGCCCCTTTCCTGACCCAAATAGCCTCACATTGATGTTTCCGTATAACTTTTGAAATTTGGTATTGAAATGTAAAAAAAAAAAAAATTATTGTTAGTAGGAAGCTAAATAAAGTAAGATAAAAGATAAAAGAAAATGGCTATCATGTTAAGTTATTGGTGCTTTTTATTGGCTGCTTCATTGTAAATGAATCAGGTAAGAAAATCATGGCTAGATCCAAAGAACTAAGGTTTATAATTAAATCAAACAAGTTCGTACTTAGTTCTCAATTAACAGAATCTTTTAGCTAATATTTTTGGCCATGGCCATTTTCAAGTCTCACCAATCAAGAATAGTTGATTTTTTTAAAAAAAAATTATTTATTTTATTTACTTATTTTATTTTTTGCCAGAAAAGATACAGAAAGTTAGGCTTTAAAATCAACTAAAGTTCTAAGAAGTAACTCCACCTAGCCTATGTTGTTATCTAGACGGACTGATCTCAGTAGACATGTATCTTTGTGTAATAAAGTAACTTTAATGTGGAAACATTAAAAGGAATAATAATTCAAAAGAAGAACCCATTAATCTCCCTGACTTTAGCAACTAGGATCTCCCAGTTGAACACTGATCTAAATGCTACTATACTGGTGATATGTGAATGTGTCATAAATCAGAGTTTTAAGAATCAGATGTTGGCAAGTAAAGCAGGTTGGTTTATTTTGTGGATACCAAAGAGAAAATGTCAAACGTGTGAACCAGGCTTAAGTAATCCTATATAATAAAAACCTAGGTGGCGTCCTGTGATGCCCTTGTGTAACGTAGTCACAAGATGGCCAGTAGGGGAGGAGAGTTGTGGACGGTCAAACTGGCAGGAGAGGTCAGTTGGGGGGTGCCTGGGCTGGCAGGGGATGGCAGTTAGGGGTGGCCAGGCCAGCAGGGGAGAGCAGTTGGGGACAATCGGCCTTCTTGCAATCTGGGACCCCTTGGGGATATCGAAGAGCTAGTTTCAGCCCTATTCCCACACAGGCCAGGCCAATGAACCCCACTAGTGCATGAATTTGTGCATCGGGCCTCTATCTTTCTCTCCTTTGTCCATGTTTTCTAGAAGTAGGAAGGAGAGAGTTCTAGGTTCCTCAAGGTAAGCCATAGATGAGGTCTCAGGAGGGAGCTCTTTATCTAAGAAGCTTTGCACACTGTGATTCACTGAGCCTGTGCCAGAGTCAACGATAGACTGAGCTTCCTCCTGGAGCCAAGGGCTAATGTTGAACCAGACTCGGTCCCCACTCTGGAGGACTACAGGCTCCCGGGACAGATATATGCTAAAGAAGTAGAATGATAGTCCAAAGAGAAGCAGGGGCTTTAAGAACAGTGTATTCTATCATAGAAACACATTTGACTACAGGTAAAAGAGAGCTTAATTATCATAGTTGGAAAAAAAGCTTAGCAAAAAAAAAAATGATACAGGTATTTCTTAGGTAGGATGCACATTTGGATAATTTTAGAAGGAGTGAAGAAAAACAGATTGAATGATGTAGATGTTATACATGAATACGCTGTAAGTTCAGGTTATTCTCATGTCTACTCTTTAATTTCATTTTATGAAAGGCACACCAACCTTTAATGATTGGAAAATGCTGACAATGTCATTTTTGCCAGGAATTATGGCAATTAGCAGAATTTAAATATTCTTTTGCTGTTATTCTTTGCCCTCTCCTTTATAGTCCCTTGACATCTATCTTTAGCCTCTAGAACTAGCCTTTCCTTACTCTTCTTCCTACTTTGTTCTAGCTCCAACCTTCCTCATACCTGTGACCCAATCAGCCACTTCCTTATACCTGTGTCCCAATCAGCCACATCTCCAATTATTTTTCTACTGGAATTTAATAAGCCATGTATATGGAATTCTTTTTCTCCAAAAACCTTCTGAAGTATTACATCATGCTGCATTTTCCTATTCAGGAGTCCCCTCTTATCTGTAATGAATACACCCCATGACCCCCAGTGGATGCCTGAAACTGTGGAGAGTATCAAACCTCATATATTTTTTCCTATACACACATATCTTCTCACATAAAGGAAGCACTTCACGGCTTCTCTTTGGCATAGCCAAATTGCCAGTTGCACTACTCCTGTGCTTTATTAAGGAAAGTAAGGATCATTTGAGCACAAGCTCTGCAATACCAGGACAGTGGATCTGATAACTGAGAGAAGGCTAAGTGACCAGGAGGTGGAGATTGTATTCAGAGTGGAGAACCCTGCACAAATGGATGATTCACGTCCCTGGGCGGGATGGAGTGGGATGGGATGATGTATATATAGTTCATCATGCTCCTTAGAAGAGCATGCAATTTAAAAATTAATAATTAGTTATTTCTGTATTTTTCCATTTAATCTTTTCAGACTTTAGTTAACCCTAGATAATGAAACTACAGAAAGCAAAACTCCTCTTCTACCCCCTGCCCAATATTCTTTATCTTGATACCCTCTTTTTCTTCTATAGAACCTAGTATTTTTTAAATTATTTACTTACTTATTGCTCTCTACTCATTCCAGTCCACCCATCCTAGTCCAGATTCTTACCTGAGGACAGGGCCATGTCTTTTTGAATGGGATGAATGAATCTGAGTAAGGAGAGAAATCAGGACAGAGCTACTCTGGTGTTCTAGACAGGCTAAAGTTAGTGAGCAAAAGTAGGGTGAGGAAAGCCCAGAAAGTGCTCCTAGAAGAGTAACCAGGACAGAAGGTAATATAATGTCATCATGTCAAGTATTCAGAAATAAAACCTGGGGAGGGTAGGTCTTAAACACATATTAGGGAGCTTGGACTTTGTCCCATATGCATTTATGTCCCATTAAAGTTTTCAACATGGTAGTAAAATTAACAAGATGATTAACCTAGTTCTTGTGGGCAGTGCTAGCCCTTATTCTAATTATACTGTATCATCGTTGAATTTTTATCCCTTTCCCCATCAGACAATTACCTCCTCCAGGGGAGCTACCAAGTCTGGATCTTCACGTGAGACCCCAGCTCAGGGCACAGTGCTTGGTACATAAGGAGGCATGCAGTTAATATGTTTCAAATGGCTGACTGATGAATAAATAAACTTTGGGGGAGCAATTATGCTGCCATAGCTTAGCTCATCCTCTGGGGCTGTTAGGATGGAGGACTAAAATAAGCACTTGAGCACACAGCAGGGATATTGCTGCGTCCCTCCCACAGCAGCTGGGTAGTAGACATGGTTCTCTCTCTCTCTCTCTCTCTTTCTCTTTCTCTTTCTCTTTCTCTCAAAATATATACTTTATTGATTTCAGAGAAGAAAGGAGAGGGGGAGAGAGACAGAAGCATCAGTGGTGAAAGAGAACTATCGGCTGCCTGGCTGCCTCCTGCACACCCCACATGGGGGATCCAGCCCACAATCCAGGTATATGCTGAAATCAAACTGTGACCTCCTGGATCATAGGTCGACGCTCAACTACTGAGCCACGCGGGTGGAGCCATGGTCTTGGCTCTTGATTCAGAGTAGCCTTGTGAGGGACATAAGCTAGAGGGTTAACAACAGACAAGCTGCCTGACTCTGAGAGTGCCAGTTTCTGCAGAGACTAATATATATATATATATATATATATATATATATATATATATATATACACACACATATATATATATATATATATATATATATATATATATATATATATATATATATATAGCAAACAGTTTCTTTCCAAAGCTCAGTTGACTCAATCTAAATATTCTTTCAGAGCGGTCTCCTTAATTATAATGACATGGTACGAATCCAGGAAGAAAGAATGTGAGCTATCACTTCGTGTAATAACAGTGTTAGCATTCATGCACATAAATTATATGTCAGTTTACCTATTTAAAAACAAGAAGAGTGCTCAGTTTTGTAATTTAAAACTTTGAATATGCCACCTTTAAAAATTATGTCATTATAACTGGTAGAAGTTAGTAATCACCACCCAAATGTATGTTCTTGAATAGTTGATGAACTACTTAGAGTGAAATTCTTTTTAAAATTCATTTAAAAGGGAAAAATTTAAAGCCACTATGTTATAGTTATATTTATTCCCACACACATCAGACCCACCCAGCGTGCTTCAAACACCTGTTAGGTGGCGAAAGCTTCTAGTGCTGCACTGTTGGAAATGGCAGCTCCTAGTCACAAGTGGCAATTTAAATTTGAACTTTAGTTAATTTAAATTAAATTACATTACATTTTAAGTTTTTCCGTCTCCCTAGCCACATTCCAAGTGTTCCATAACCATTTGTAGCTGGTTGCTACCATACTCAGTGGTACAGAACAAAATACTTCCAGCCTGCCATCTATTGAAGAGCAATCAAGAAAAGACGTAAATATGACCTGTCATGAGGACTGCCTTCATAGCATCAGCAGCTGCTGACACGTGTTTAGGATTTATTTTTGAAGCAGACACCTTTGGCCATTTTTACCTTTGTCCACATTGATAAAAAATGAGGAGAAGTGTCCTTGTTTCTAGGGGACTGTAATCCTATTCTGTACTAAATCAAACTGCAACCACTGCAAGAGAGATGAGGCCTTACCTTTGTCATGGTCCTACCTGTGTGAGCTCATTGTATATTTTATTATTTTGTATTGAATCATATTTTGTTTTTTTGTATTTTTTAGTGTTGTTTTCCAAAATGACATCTTGAAAGCAAACAACTTCATGGCATTAAATTAAACCTGACCTCATCCTTTATGTTCTCATTTACTGGCGTTAAGTTCCTCTGTCTATAAAAGTAGTAACTCATAAGAGTTTTGGCTGAGTACCTGCGCCCCTTCGCTGGGTCCAGGATTTGAAGAGTCTAAAGGGATCAGAGAGCTTATCCTACAGTGCCTGACAGTGCATACATCAGAAGGCTTTATTGGATAAAGATGCAATCTTTGAACTCCCTGCGCCAGATATTTAATCGCATCCTCATTCTCTTGCAGATCACTTACAAAGCAGTCAGTTCCTTTGACCCGGAAATAGACTTATCCAATCAAAGTGGCAGAGTTTCAAAACTGGGAAATGAAACCCATTTCCTGTTTTTTGGACTTTATCCGGGGACAACGTACTCCTTCACCATCCGAGCTAGCACCGCTAAGGGTTTTGGACCTCCAGCAACAAATCAGTTTACCACGAGAATATCAGGTATTTTATCAGTTATGTCGTTTATCAGAAGTGATATTTTGTACTTTTTCATCCCCATTGTCAAGGATGCAAAGCTCACCCAAACTGATACCTTGTATTCAAATGCTTTCAGGTATCTGAAAATCAAAATTATGGAATTAAGTGAAATATTACGGATGTTATTATTTTGGAGCTTAAGATCTTTCTTGAGATCCACAGTTTGCATTGGAGCACTTGGACATGAACAGAAAGTTCTGTTCTGTTCACTCTTAGCCCCAAATTACCAGAGCAGCAGTGCTGGAAAAAACTCTGTAATGCGCCATGAATGATTGAGTGCTCAGAAGAAAGGCAGCACTATATGGAGCTCAGTGCCAGAGGGTCAGCCTTCCTTGGGACCTTCACTATTGGAAGTTTCAGGTCCTAAAGAGACAAGGGGCAACAGAGAAGTTGCTCCCAGCACTTAGGGCCTCCAGCTTTTTGTTTGTTACTTCAATTATACCATCCAACAAAAGATATAATTTGAGAAATATTTCTGGGCATATGCAACTGTGCAGAAAATTTCTTAGTGCTTCAGACTAGAGGAAATGGAGTTGCCATCTGGTATGGGCTATGTAGCAGCAGTAAACACATTCCATGGGCATTTTCTTTTTCCATTTTCCCCCCTTGGGTAGGAGAGGGGAAATATTTGAGTTTGGGCTTTGATTGTTTTGGTTGGGGGTAGATGAGCAGAAGGCCGGTGAGGGAGATAACATAGTCAGGGGTAGCTATATAATAATTAGCCTGGTTTTCATATATATTGTCCCTCATCCCTTGTTTTATAAAAGTTTTTTGTTTGGAAATGAAGGAAGGGAAATACAACTAGAGTACTGTAAGAATTCTACTGGGTTTTGAGGGAGAAGATTTGGAACTTTGTTTTTAAGCAATTGTAACTTAAAGGGAAAATTTTTATTGTGTAAGATTTTAGTTGTGAGCATAAACTTGAATTGATTTTTAATATATTCTTGGTATTTGACCAAGAATATATTAGTCTTAGGTTATTAGAACAACATGGAGAGTTGGAAAAGAGAAAGAAGGCCTTGGGAGGTAGGAAAATGACATGGGTTGTACAGATGAGTGAGTAGCAAGGGCACTAGACTTGCAATCTAAAAGTATGGGTTCTAGTTATAATTTTGCTATGTACTCCCTTTCTGACTTTGATCAAGGAATTTTCCCCCAAATGTAATTTAAGGTATTGGCTGCTGCATGAAATTTATCGTGAAGATTTAAAAAAGAAACGTGTACCAATGTGTATAACTCCAAGCCCTTTTTTTCCTTCTTTTTCCTCTTTTTTTTTTTTTTTTTTTTTTTTGTAACTTTCCCCCATGGATACCACTTTAAAAAGGTTATTATCTTAAAGGATGTGTTTGTATAGGAAAATAATTCATTGTTACCATGTTTATTAAATAAAAATTCTACTTGATATGAGTCCAAAGCACTGTTAGCCCATCAAGTTCATACAAATCTATTTGAAAGAAAAGGTAGTCGATATTTTAATTAGCCTACCCAGGCTCATCAAGAATAACTATGTAATTTTTATAGTTCAAAAAAATTACAAATTATGGGCCCCTATTTTCTACTTTCATGGATCTCAGAGAGAGAGCTAGCTACTCTCTATACAAAATGTAATTCTGTATTATGAATTCAAGTTAATTTTCAGAGAATTGGAGTTAATTTTTAATGCTGAGGAAATCCAATAAATGGAACTGAGATATAACCCATGTCTTTTATGTAAGAGCTTTTTATATTTCAGAGATTTAAAAACTATATTTGTCAAAACTGATCTCTAGTGTTCTCATCGGCTCCCTATACCTGTGGTTGTAAAAGACCAGGTGCACACTCACATCCCAGCGTTTATGAGGTGATTTCCCTTGTCCATGGGGATGACAGAATTACCCAACAGCTCTGTTATCTTCTCATAATGAGAGCTAACAATCTAGGGGAAAAAAGAATGCCAGGAAATGGCCTTGGAAATAGCATTCACATTAGGAAGAGAACTAACATTTGTAGAATTATATTTGTCTGGCTCTCTTTATCTCTATCTCTTTGAATTCCTATAACAACCCTACAGGGTAATTTTCTACTTTTAAAGATGAGTAAACTAAAGCTCCAGAGATAATGTGCCCCAGCTCTTATGTTGGTTAAAACAAGGCACCAGGAAAAGTCAAACCCCTGATTTTCTTAGCTCAATCCCCGTATCTTTTTTACTCCGTGCTTCCCTGAAAGCCCACCATTGATCACTAATTTCAGCAAGCCTCTCTGGCTCCTACTGTCATCTTCAGATCCCCTGGTGAATCTTTGGTACAAAAAACCTTGACTTACCTGGAAGAACTGTAAAGTTCCGTGCTATGATCCTAGTAATTATTTCTTAAATGTGCATTTAAAGTATATTTTTTGAAGGAAAGAACACAAATTTCACAAGCTCACCACACCCATTTAGCAAGAGTCCAAACAAATTTGAGAAACAGAATATAGAGAAACAGAACAACTAACAAGTCCTGTGAATGCTCTCTCCCAACTTTGCTCTCTGAGATCAAAAAAGGTAATGTGTTGGTTTTAACAGTTGTCCCTGATATTTTGTGTAAGGTATGTACATAAAGGCTGCTCATGGTCAGTTGGTAGCTGCAATTTAATCTAAGTGCATAGTATTCTTAATGTTTTGTGGTGTTTGTTTTTGTAAATGAAAGTAGACAAAAAACTGGGGGGGAAAGCAGAAATAATGAGTCTCCCATCTTATGCATTTTTCTCCAGCACCCTCTATGCCGGCTTATGAACTTGAGACCCCTTTGAATCAAACTGACAATACAGTGACAGTCATGCTGAAACCTGCACACAGCAGAGGCGCGCCTGTCAGGTACTGAGCAGGGAAGGGATGGGCTGGCTCCAGAGACATGAAAACCAAAATCAGATTGATTAATTTCTTGAATGCATTTTCCAGGGATTTGCAACCAACCTCAGTCAGCATGTAAACCCCTATTTGTGTTAGTTCTAATTAGAAGATATGACTGAGGAAAAGGAAAGTGCTTTGATGTGCAGTGATCAAGTACTGTGTAAAGTTTGACTCCGCTGCAAGGGGGTTGTTCTTTGAAGATGAGGAACAAAAGCCCCAGTCTGTTGCAAGGTGGCTTTACAATTGCTTGCATCAATTTAGATACCCAGGGGCACTTGGCCTTTTCATCCTGAGCTCTATTCGTTAAGTGGATCTTTTGTTTGTTTGTTTGTTTGTTTACCTGGGGTTTAAGTTTGGCTAAATTTCATAAATTGGCTAATGTCTCAGTGGACTATGTGTTGTACATTTTTTTATTATAAAAGAAATAGACCAGCAATTTTCAACCTGTGTGCTGCAAGAATTTTTAAAAAACAAAATACCTGCCTATTTAGTCTGGGGCACTGACCTCTTTTGTAGATTGTCAGATTAAAAAACGACAAAAGCCAACACAACAATAGTCATTTAATATGAATGAATCAAAATAATACCTATTTTTGTCAGGTCGGCAAAATATGTAACACATTTTTCGTGTGCTGCAAAATTTTAGTAATTAGTTTGTGTGTGCCATGAGGTAAAATAGTTGAAAGTCACTGCAATAAACTCGTGGAAAGAGAATGGTGAAGTCTTTATTTGAACAGATTTAAGTTTATTACCAACATGTAGGGTCTCATTTCTCATTCCATGATGATTTATTTAGCTAAGAAATTATAAAGTGTTACTTTTACAGTGGATGAATAAAATAAATTTATTCTTCCCAGGAAGAAGCAAGGGAATGCCTCAATAATTCTTGAATATGAACTTGTCATAAGCTCATTAATCTATATAAATGAAATTTCTACTTGTTTCAGAGGGATTCAGATATCCTGTACTATCAGAAGTGATTCCCTTCAAAATAATCTATTACATTCAGTAGCATACACTAAGGAAACATTTACAGTCACAATTAAGGCTATATCAGATTTGTTTCCATGTTCCTGTTGTAAAATTTTATTTCATTAACCCTTTAAAACCTGGCTTTTTTTTTTATCATGTTTTCATATAGCATCATACAGTGATTAGTTGGACTTATTTTCTTTTCTTTTTTTTTACCACTGATGAGATATGTATATTAATTTTAGTCCACAGAGGCAGGAGTAAGAACAGAATAAAATGTGATAGTGAAATCACATTAAGGTAGAATCACAACTTGAAAAACCTACAATATTGTAGGAAATAATTTATTCTGTTGACTGACTCAACATAACTCATATAAAGGATTTGGGATTGCCATTCATAGGTGTAGTTTGTGAAAACACTATGGAATATGTAAAAGCTCTATTGCAAATTTTGAATGTTATTATTGCTAGAACGTGATGCCACTGACACCACCCATTGATCTGTGTGTGGTGATGACTGGTTGCACTCATCTGAATGACCCAAGGCACACACTCATTAGATGGCTGTCCAAGACCCAGGGGTACTTGGCCATGGGTCATTCCTTTTTCACTCTGGAAGGCTGAATTATTATTAAATGGAAGTTGATGCTTCTGACCATGGCTTTCAGGACATCATTTTTTTCTAACCAATTTAACAATTGCCCAGACTCAGGAACAATGGACCATTAGTACGGGAGTCTGTGTTCTACAATAAAAGCATCATGATAAAATGAAAGGGTAAAGGTCACTGATGTCTAGGACCTCCAAACTGAAGGAAGCTGAAGTCCTAGCCATTTCTCCAAACAGCCAGCTATTCTCTATTCTACTTTATTTCTATATAAACACATTTTACATATTTCTATTCCTATTGCATTGTTCCTTCAAACCCTTTCTGTCAGGCTTCCATCCACATCTTTGTACAGATCTTTCCAAGTCTAAGTTTCCAAAAATACTCCTTAGGGCAATCCACCTTAGTCCTCTTTCCAGTCCTCCTTCCCTTATCATTTTAAATTGCCACTTGTATTTCAAACCACTCTTCCTATTTTCTGTCATATGTGTTGCTAAAGCATTGTTTTATTGTTGTTTTCATTTAAACCTTTCTAGTTGGTTTTGGAGATTTTTGAAGCCTTTCTAGCTCATTAATTATAGATATCCTCAGACTTCTTCTTATTCTTATGCCTGTAACAATACAGATTCAAAGGCTTGTCAAATATGCAAAATACATAGCTTTCTCCCCAGATCTCACTTCATTTTATCATGCCCAACTCTATTTTTTCTAAGATTTTATTTTAGGTTGTGGCATTTCCTTCACAATTGTCCTATTGCCTTATGTTCCAAGTTCATAACTGCTCTTCTTTGATTACTAATAAACATAATCCTGTTATTAGCAAAATATTCCTGGAATTTGACAGGGTCAACTATGTATTCTGCCCTCTATTTTACCTTCATCCACCATGTTAACATCTTAACATTAATAAATGTATAATCCATGTTCATTATCTAAATCCATAATGCTCCAATCAGTTTCATTTCTTATGGGAAAATATTCAGTAAGTATTACAGGAAAATCCACTATGGACACTACTTTTATTGCAAGGATGCTTGTCTTGAATGGGTAAGTTTTATTGCACAAATTTGAGAGAGGAAATTATCTCAATCTCACCTGTCAAAGATTTAATGTTGTGCATAAAAGTAAATATTCTCTTCAAGGAATTCATTATTATAGTACAACAAAATGGGACTGATTATCTATTGAGTAAATAGAAGACCAAGATAGCTAGAAAAACTCGTTTGGAGTGGGGGGAAAAGTCTATAATACTTTCAAACTAAATGGGGTATATGAAAATGTTCCATTGCATTTGGTGTTCAGAGAAATAAGAACTCTGATTAGGGAATCATAGGGCCCTAAAATATAAAGCCATAATGTAGATTAAAACATTTGAACACATCTGGAAATTTGCAAAACGCACATGTAATCAAACTGCAATACAAGAAAGCTTTTCCCAAATGATAACTACTAGAAGAAAGAGGGGAGATGAAAGTGAACATCTGTTTGCTTCCCTGGATTTTCCACAGTATTATGTGTTCAAAAATACTGTCATTGTGTGATTTCCAAAACCCATTCTTTCAATTGATTTGATTTTTCTTTAATCCATATTCATCGGTTTTAAAATTCAGTCATACTTCATTGGTGATCTTCTTTAAGTAAGGTATTGATTCCGCTGCAAGCGCTCAGCTTGGTTAGTGCAGATTCTTGAAATTGCACTAAAGTCTCACTGTAAATGACTGTTGTCTTTTTATTGATCAACACTTCAGCTCTGTCACATACAATTATTTAAATCTGTAGGTGGCTAGGAAGAACACAAATTCCATCATTCCAGCTGGTAAACTAGCACCTAGGACAGAATTTTAATGTCTGTTCATAGATGCAATTTGTTTTCTTTAATAAGACAGGGAGAAACTCATTTAGAACCACCTCTTTTCTCTCTCGTCTCTCCATTACATGCAGACACAACCCAACAATGAAAACCCTTGTACTTTGGCATAAAAGAGCAGCTCTAAATCAAGAATGAATTTAACACAGTCTTTACACAACAAAAATTCCCTCTGTGACTTTATTTATGATATAGACATGACTGCAATATTCCTCGTTAATAATATGTTAGACCTTGTAATGGTCTATATGCTTGAGAATCATATTTTTCAGCTTTAGATGATGATGTTTCCAAATGACTCACTTTGATTCTCACAACTCTGTTGCTTGAATTTGTTTATAAATAATGTTTTGGAGCTACATGTCTTCTTAATTAAAACTCAATACTTGAAAATGTTTATTATTTAAACATTCTGATATTTCAGTGAAAAGTTTAAAAATTAAGTTCTTTTTTTTTTTTATTCATTCATCCAGGAGATATTAAATGGGGGAAACATCAGTTACAGATTTGTCTGTCCATGGGATGGAGGTGGAAAATAATCACACCCACAACCCCAAACATTAAAACCGATGCCTAGCACTGGCTAGTTTGGCTCAATGGATAGAGAGTCGGCCTGTGGACTGAAGGGTCCCAGGTTCAATTCTGGTCAAGGGCACATGCCCAGGTTGTGGGCTTGATCCCCAATAGGGGGCATGCACTGATGTTTCTATCTCTCTCTCCCTCTCCCTTCCTCTCTGAAATCAATAAAAATATATATTTTAAAAAAACCAATGCCTAAACATGTGAATGTAAATTTAATTTGTGGCACCCATTCTGTTGTCCTTCTAATAAATGGAGCCCCAATTATTTTAATGTTGTACTTTTATTGTTATTGGTAACTTATATTATGATTGTCCTTGCAACCAAATGTTTCCTCAGTGGTTATATTTAAAAAGAAACTTACGCCAAAACCAGTTTGGCTCAGTGGATAGAGCGTCAGCGTGCAGACTGAGGGATCCCAGGTTCGATTCTGGTCAAGGGCATGTACCTTGGTTGCAGGCACATCCCCAATGGGAGGTGTGTAGGAGGCAGCTGATCAATGTTTCTAACTCTCTATTTTTCTCCTTCTTCTCTGTAAAAAATCAATAAAATATATTTTAAAAATATAAAAAAGAAACTTATAAATACTTTTTTTGTAGCTGAGAATCTGGGCAGCAAATAGGAACCTCACTACTTTATGAATAGAGAAGAGATAAGAGCATAAGGAATGGAAGAAACATTTGCCTTACTTTTTAAAAGTTGTGTTCTACTTAAGATTTCAAACAAGATAAGAAATATTTTCTATTATGGCAAGCATAAATATTTTATTCATCCAGAACACTTCTGGTTTTATTTATTTTTATTTTTTTGTTAATCCTCACTCAAGGATATTTTCCCATTGACTTTTAGAGAGAATGGAATGTTTGAAGGGGGAGAAAGGCAGACACACAGAGAGAGAGAGAGACATCGATGTGAGAGAGACAGATTGATTGGTTGC